CTCTTTTTCTTCGTGCTCTGGATCATCAACTTCAGATTCCACAGACTCGTCTACATTGAAATTCTCCGAATAGGTATCATAACCGGTGTCTGCAAAACTCATCAATTTCTCTATCTGATACTTAGCCGAAGCAAAAGGTGATACTCCTGACACGAGATGGCTGATTCCTGTGTCGGGTTTGACTTGATCATACCGCTCAGCTAATGACCGGTGTGTCCGATAGAAATCCTCAACCATACTTACAAGCTCTGGTCGTTTCTTGTAATACATCTCTGCACGTTTAGCAAAGGAATCTGCATCTTCTTCAATTAACTTTAACATTGCAATTGTTTTCTCATTTAGCTCTGCAATAAACATGAAGCAGAAATCATCCACCAATTTTATCTCTTTTTTCCCCTAATAATAATTTTTTAATGCAACACAAATAAATAATTTGACATTTTACTCACTTTTTTTAAACCAAAATCAATTGAGACAACCTAGAACCAAACAGACACTAAGTCAAAACTAAACCAGATAAAGGTGTCCAACGGCTATAATTCATAGGACAAAAGGTCAGAAAAGAAAAAGAAAATTAAAAGCAACAACCTTTTCTAAGATGGTAGGACCAGTATTCTACTTTTCTATTAACAGAATAAATTTTGTCTGCAGGTACAAAGCTTAAACAATTTATGAAGATAGCCAACGGATCTATCAGGGCCAAATCATTAAAGTGTAAAAAACAAAGATAGAATCCAAATCTAATTCAGATTCTCCGCCCTCGATAACCCGTTGATAGCCGTTCGATCAAGAATTGACTATCCAAAAAAAATCTAAATTTTACAATTGAAGTTACCGGACTTGAACTAAGACCGTCTGATTTTGTGAATCGGGAGAATCCGCATTCACACATTTAGCGAAATTAACCGCCTTTTGTTCGACCAAAAATCAGACAATCCAAACAATACACATTTACATTTTTATGAATCATTATAGGGATAACTCTACCAACAACATTCTTCATGCAATCAAAGCAATAATAATTGAATGCATAAATAAGTCATTAAAAAAAGAGATTCTTATAGCAAATTGATAAGAAGAAAATCAGAAGTAAAACAAAAAAAAAGTATACCAGATAGAGTGGATTGAAGCCAAGGGGAACGTTTAGTATTAGAATGAGTATCAAGCCACCACCAATTTGATTGTTGATTCTTGTTCATTCCAGCCATTTTCTCCTTCATTCTTTTCTTGCTTAACCCTAAAATCCTATATATCAAACAAACAAAAATTACAATAGAAACAAACAATAAAATAAAATAAAACTGAAACATGGAATTCAAATATTAAAATTAAATTGCAAAAGTGTAACTATACATGCTTTGAATTTCTTGGTTTCTTGAGGAGAAACAAAAACCCTAAGATCATGAAGATCAGCGTGAAGTAACAAATGCACTGATTTTCAGAGTAACACACAAAAGCATAACGACGAAACTCATTCTACTATATTAGTAACCGAAGTGAAACTCAAATTCAGTAAAAACGAAACTAAAATCAAAACCAGGGAAGAAAGAACGAAGGTTCGGAGTTTAAAACATGCAGATTGCGTAAAATTGAATGTAAAAAGGAAGAAGGAAGATAGAAAGTACTTGATTGACTTGGTTTGTTGTGTGTGCTCTGAAACAGTGGTGGAGTAGCGTCCACTCAAGGGACTCACAAGGAGAGTAGCACCATAACTATTCTTCTTTGAGTTCTTTCTACTTCTCTTTTTCAGTTTTTTGGCTTGTTATAGAATCAAAACCAATCCTATTTTTTCACGTGTATATAGTATCATGACCCGACCCATACCACCTTACCCCTGTTTTGGGTCGGATTCAAAATTTATTAGAAATTTTACCCTATATTCCTATAATTATTACCATACCCTTACATAAATTTTTTTTTAAGTAATTTGGCCCATGTCACCACGTGGATATGGGTGGGTGTTTGGGTTACGGATTTACTTCTTAGGAGCGTGCATGAATTGAAAAGGTATACCAACGGTCAGAATCGCACTGTCATACACTCACACTGGATACAATTTCTGTTTTTGTCATTATATTGATTTATTTTCCAGTTTTGTTCCCACTTTATTTAGTCAATTATTCTACAATTTTTATTTAAAAGTTCTGTAAATTAGTATTATATGTATTTCGTTTTTTCTTGTGTTACTAATAGTGTACGTATATATGGTAGGGTAAGAAAAAAAATTTATAAACTTTGTTTGGAAGGTTGAGAAGATGGAAAACAAGGGCTTTTGAAAAATATTTTTAAAAAAGTGATAAAGTTTTTTTTTTAATTAATAATATTATATAAAATTAGTTATGGGCTCGTTTATCCGCTTTTGTTAATGTACAGGTGAATTTAAATGTAAATACTATTTTTTATGTGTTTAATTTTTATTTTAGTTAAATTATTTATAATATAATAAAAAAAAATAATGAAAGAGATAAATAAATCACCATATAACAGTTAATAAAAAAGAAGTTGAGATTTAAAACAAAAATTAAAAGGATATAATTAGAACAAATATTAGTTAACTCACAAGAGAACCTATGAATTGTTTCAGATGGAAGAAAGTGAAAGTATAATAGATTTCTTCACTAGAGTTACAAAATTGGTGAATCAAATCAAGGTGTCACGCCCCAATTTTACCCTTAGATTATTAGCTTCTTTTCGCATCTCATCTCATTCTGCATCGCATTTTAACTGACCGCTAACCAGTTTGTCCAATCTGTTGGTTTTATTTGCAGGAAAATCACGATGTGCGCGATTTAAAAAAAGGGACTTGTTTGAACTCAGCAGTTACGTTAGATTTAAATCGTGCAAGATGATTAATTGTCGAATTTGGAGTTTGGAACGTCAAAGCTTAATCAGATAATTTTAATGGATGAAGTTAATCAGACGGATTTATTTAGATGAGTTTCATCAAAGGAATTTAGTCGTTTGAATTTAATCGGATGATTTTGATCGGTGGAACGTAATCAAGCGAATTTAGTTGCTTAAGTGTAAGCGGGTGAATTTACGCGGAGAAATTTGATCAGGAATTAAATTCAGTTTAGTAAGAAAAATGGAATTTATTTATTTAAATTCTATGTTTTTTTATTACAATGTGCGAAGACAATTACAATTTCAAATTAATTTCTAATTATTTTTCTAAAAAGCCTAATTGTCTCCGCGTCCAATTCTTCAACTTTCGACTTTTCGGACCCAGCAATAATCTGTCCCGTTTGTTTCCAAGAGAGAGAAGAAGTGATTTTTTTTTGAAAAAGTGCTTTTTGGAAAAGTGTTTATGTGGGAAAAGTGATTTTTCTTGGTTTTAGCCAAACCAGACTTAAGACATCCAAAATCCATAGAACCAAAGTGGATACCCAGATCCATCAAGGAAAAATGGATATCCAAGTTCAGAAACAACTTTCCCAAAATCCTTGCAACCAAACGGGGTCAAAGCCAGCAGAAACAACTTTCCCAAAATTTTAGCAAAACAAGGTCAAAGAAATCAACAAACCAGCCATGAAAATTACAACAACCAGCATGCCTAGGCCCAAGCAAACAAGTATTATATAAGCAGCAGCCTCACCGAAAAAAGAGGCGAAAAAGAATCAACTCAAATCGCTTCAAACCTCGCGAAAAAGGTGAACAATTTTGATACTAACAGGTTTTTTTCCGTTTACTTTGTGTTTTCAGAACTCTACCGGGAAGAGCAAGAATGGTGGGAGAAATGAACGAAAAGCTTAAAAAGAACAATAATGGAGAAGCTGCGCCGCCACCTCCCCCATTTTTATTTCAATTGCTTTATATTCTTTTTTCTTTTTCTTTATTTCATTGTTTTATTATTGTTATTAGTATTATTTTATATTCTTATAGTTTAAGGAAATTAGATTCATTAAAACCATTCATTCATTTTTATTTTAACTTTATATTTTGGTTTAATTAGGTTGATAAAACCTTTCATAAAGTTAAAAAAAAATTTATTATTTTTATTTTATAATTTAGTTTAATTAGGTTAAATTAAAATCTTTCTTAAGTTAAAAACTTTTTTTTTAAAATTAAAACCTTTCTTAAACTAAAACTCCTCTTTTGAAGATGAAAGCCTTTGTTTTTTAAAAAAATCAAAATCCTCTGTTAAAATTAAAACCCTTTTTTTAAAAACCTTTTCTTAAAGTTAACTAGAAACCTTTTTTTTTTAAGTTGATTAGAACATTTCTTTAAAATTCAACATTCTTGAAAAAACCTTTTTGAAAAAAATAAGATTTTTATGAATCCATTAAAATTAGGCAAAATTAAAATTTAACATTTAAAATTCAAACTCTTTTTTTGTAAATTCCTCATTTAGTTTTAAATCTCTTTCCTAAAATCGTCTAACGTTGCGCTTTCAATTTCACATTGAACCTTGCCGGTTATTCTCGTATAATTTTTATGTCGGTCCATTCATTATTTTCTCAGTTGTACTGTTATAATACTTCATTTTTCATATTTCATTTTATGGTTGTAATTTACGCGAGGATATTGTTGTAACACCCCCTTTCTATACCCCCAAATAATCACATAATCATTTAGACACATATTAAAAATTTCATCAGAGTATAATTATAAACATGGTATAAAAGAGGTATGTCACATTATACGTGAAATTAAAATATACAACACCTTCTCAACAAAAGATACGCAACAGTGGGGTAACTTGCAACAGAGGAACTTAGTCCTTACACCCACATGAACAGATATTCGAAATACGTTTGATTGCTTCAATATCCATGAATCTAAAAAAAAGAATTGATGCTTGGAACGAGTGTATAACAAAAATTCTCGGCATTCCTTGGGGATTCTTGATTGGTGCTGAGCTAACTATAACTCAAAGTCGTATTTCTTTGGTTAATAAAATCCAAAAGGTTTATCGATCCCAGGGAGTACACATCGATAATAGACATATCGAGATTATTGTGCGTCAAATAACATCCAAAGTCTTGGTTTCAGAAGATGGAATGTCTAATGTATTTTTACCTGGCGAACTAATTGGATTATTGCGAGCAGAACGAACGGGGCGTGCCTTGGAAGAAGCCATTTGTTACCGAGCTTTATTATTGGGAGTAACAAAAACATCTCTGAATACTCAAAGTTTCATATCCGAAGCGAGTTTTCAAGAAACTGCTAGAGTTTTAGCAAAAGCCGCTCTTCGGGGTCGTATTGATTGGTTGAAAGGTCTTAAAGAGAATGTTGTTTTAGGGGGAATGATACCCGTTGGTACCGGATTCAAAAGAATAATGCACCGTTCACAATATTTAGAATAAAAGCAGAAAATCTAAACATTGAATAACCTCAAACACATATACATATATGTGTTATACCCTAAATTTGTCCTACCCGTGTAAATTCTACCTGTACATTCATTTCAGAAAAGTCCAAAAAATATGTTGTTATTTTCAATAGAGGATGTCAGGTCAGACATGTGGATAATGTTGAATGAGGAATGGTCACCTGGTTGAAGCTGATTTTTGCGGAGTTTTCAGTACAGTGCATATTTGAAGGCATTATTTTTGGTATCAAAGCATTATCCTTTGATTTCAAGGCAATGAGGTTTTTGGTTCATGGCAATGCGATTTCACTCCCCATTTAATAGCAAGTTTGAAAGTGGATTTATTATTGTGATTCTTTCAATTTTTATTCAAGGCTAATTTGGAATTATGACTTTTTCTTGGCTCATTCAAGTGTCATTCATTTTCAAGTGAGAAGTTAAGTAAGGTGGACTTTGATTTTTGAATTCATGTGGGAATTTCATCATCAAGTTAATCTTGAATCAAAGATGTTATTCCGATCAAATTACAAGTGCAAGTTCTACAAAATCACAACAAATTTTGAAGCCCATCTCTATAGGTCCATTACCTTACATCAAGTGAACCAAAGTCATAAACAAAATCATGCAAATATTACAATAATGACAAGCCCATTTGGCTAAGTACTATCATTGCTAAAAAAATGAGGAGCCAATGTCATGAACCGGTATGCTAGAACTACACCGGCTTGCATATGCGCAAGTTCTATTATCACATGCATTGACTTGGCAAGTAGCCCCAATATATTTAATATCATGCATGAAACAAGGAATGGGCTTGCTAGAGAATTTATTATACGAACAATCTGTTCAACATAACAACTTGTTGCTTAAGAATATTGAGATATTCCGTATATACGGGCATGATCATATCAGTTCAAACATCATGAAGGTGCTGGAGCATACTGGCAAACAACCCTAATATGCAAACTATCTCAATAGGAATGCACAACAGTTATTTGATTCAGTTGGAAAAACCATCAAGCTGTTTTTGTTGCTTCACAAGCTGTCAAATTTACCCTGCCTCCGTAACGAAACCGCGTCCTACAAGGCTATGTTCAAAAGCGACAAGTGAGTGATGGCGTATTCGTAGCATACTATTGAAACTTCCAGCCATAATATGCATAAAATAAATTCACAGAAATTGTTCTACATAAGACATCACCGCAAGCTTCAGTACCGTGGATTACGTACCTCACGGAGGGAACCCATAACTTGCACATGAAAAACCAGCAAAGCCAAACCGTAACATTGTCAATGTCGGCATTGTTCACGCATAACACATACCTGTGAAAAGAACATGACCCCAAAACCAATTCAGAAAAGTCCAATGAAACAGATTTCGAACTAAAAGAAGCATACCGTGGCTAAGGAGAGGCCATCATTGTTCCTCTCTTGGTAGGAAAAACAAGCCAATTGTCTCGACCATACTAATCTGAGGTAAGTAAAAACACGATGGTAGCTACGAGTATGGTGCTCACACCTTGCCCTTCACAAAATCACAATCCTAATTCAATGCTAAAAAGAAAATATCCAATTAGTAGCAGAATGAAGAATAATTGGTATTGGTTCATGAATTTACTCTTCAGTCCTCCCAAAGAAGAAATAGCAAGCTTGTACCATTTACTGGCAGGTCACGCCAGTTCCCCATTTTAAGAGCATGATCCGCAGATTACAGATCTCCAGTTCAGCAAGCCAAGGATTCCAAGACGTGAAAGTAACGCACACACAGGAATTAGGCCTCGCGCATACCCTTTAACTTTTGCATCAAAATGCAAAATGGTGGCTGTAGAAAAAACAAGAACAATAAAATATCAACGTTGCACCACAAATCATGACCCACACAAAATTGGTAAAAAGCAAATGGGACTTTCTATGAGCCAAAACGCAGTGTACGTACCTCGCCCCCAGCTTTTTGCAGTCCAAAACAGGCCCCACCCAAAGGCCACCGACTGTTTCTCAATACACCAACCTCACCAAAACGGGTGAGGGACTTGCAAGTAGCAATTCAAAATGCAAAAACACGCCAAAGAAAATCACATCCTGCACAAGAAAAGGACAGCAAATAACACGTTATTTTGTACTTGTAAAAATTCACAACACAACAAAATACAGCAGCAGTATACAAAATACCTCAAGTGCCCCACGACTACAAGATGGCAAGGCTTTAGAATATTATGGCCCGATTCCTTGAAACTTCAAGATCGTTTACCCTCTCCAAATCCATATAAAAGCATCATTTTCATTCATGAAGAGAGGAGGAGGTTTTAAACCTAGCCGCCACCTTCTTCAATAGCCCTCTTCTTTCTCATAACTTCAAAATCCGAAAAAATCAACCTCAACAAAATGGCAACCCTTACCTCCAACACCATTAACTTTCCAAACTTCATACCCTCAAGCACTAACCTTCTTCAACTTTTCCTTTTTTTTCCAACCTTCAATAAATCGAAATACCAGTTGAGGGAAAACCTTTTCTGCTATCTAACCTATCCAACCTTCCATGAACCAATCTTCTTCAAAAACTCACGAACTATAAACCCCAAATCTTCAATACTCCGACTCTTCCTTCATACCCAGACTCAGAGTTTTGTCTTCTCAAAACATAAACCACTTTTCTCCTTTATCATCAGACCATAACCTTCTGCAACTTTCAACCTTCATATTCTCAAATCTCCCGCGATATCCTAATCCTTCGATTCATTCTCAAACCCAAACCCTTCACAACCGAAACAACCACAAATATCCTTAACCCAATCTTCTTCGTCAAAACCAAATAAATCCAAACCAGAAATGAGACAGAGGAGGGTGAAATTGTTTTGATATCTGGAACAAAAATGGATGTACCTAGAAAACGATTCTTTGAAGTGGCAAAGACGGTTTAAGGTCGGACCAATGTGTATTTGATATTTGTTTTGTTCCTTGTTCCTTGCGTTAAATCGTGTTCTTCGTGATGATGAAAAGGAAGCCTAGTTTTCTCTTCTGAGCGTTGTGTATTCTTTCGATAGTGTTGCCCTGTTTCTCAAAGGATTCATCCATCTGTGATAGTCATGGTAGCTGTGTTACAGAGCCAAGAGAGTGAACACATAGCTATTGGGTTAATGAGACCATGAGGCCCAAGTTGCTTCTAGGCTATCACCCTCTCCTTCTATTTGGAAGACCTGTTTTTTTGGTTCATTTAAAATTCTGCATTATGCTGGGCTTAAGGCCCATGTTGGTTTTCTTATTGACACCCGTATTTCAACCTTCACCCTCATGAGCTTTCTTTTTTTCTCTATGTATACTATTTATTTTATTTTCGAAAGAAATTGTTTTCTTAGTTAACATTCCATTTGGTTTCAAATCCTATAATTTCAAACTTGTTTATAATTTATCAACTTAATCTTTTCTTTTATTTTTCGATTTTTGTTTGATAGGTCTATGACGAGATTACCAATGTTTAACCGTCAAATTATTGGCGTGAAACAAAGGATCCGAGACCACTTTCCTCTTTCAATTTTCTTTCGGTTTTATTTAGATCGATGAAGTCTTTTATTCGTAAGCGTCGCGTGTCGAAGTTGATAACCTTCTCGATTTCAAATCTATGGTGAATGACCATTGGGGTGCTTTTCCGTACTTTGGGATCGTGATAGGCTACCTTCGATTAATCAGAATTATGTTTGCGATTAAGACGAGATCCCATTCCTTCGTGTCCCGATTCGATTCACTAAACTGACCAATAACTTTAATTTTCGTTAAATATTATTGTGAATATTATTGTTATATTACCTTGACATATTATTATTGTCATATCATACCACAAACTCTTTTCATACTCCACGATTCGATTCAAATCATTTTCTCAACATTTTTCTCAATTCAAACTCCGAAAGAAGGAGGTTCTTGGAATCTAGCATTCCTTGAATCTTCGAGTGAATAATTCTCGAGGCACGCTCTTGAGTTATTATTCATTCAATCTTTCGACTTTTTTCTTCAAAACATTTTCTCGATTAAAACTCCGAAAGAAGGAGGTTCTTGGAATCTAACATTCCTTGGATCTTCGAGTGAATAATTCTTGAGGCACGCTCTTGAGTTATTATTCACTCAATCTTTCAACTTTTTCAAGCATTTTCAAACATTCCCCTAAGTCGAGTGCTCGTACGCATTTGCAATCGTCGACATTTCGCACACACTTCACAATTCCTCTTGGTCTCGATATTAGGGGCACCCTTAGGGACTAATATCGTTTCTCATCATCCTAGCCCTTGACACGTCGTCAAGTCGGTTCTATCTTCTAATCAATTCCTCGACTCGTCGTCGACCCCCCTCCTTTTCAAACCAACTTCCTTTTGCCTCGCATTCCACTTTCGACTCAATCTTCTCACAAACGTTTTTTTTAAACTTACGAAAGAAGGATATTCTTAGAATCTAGCATTCTTTGAATATTCGAATGAGTAACTCTTGAGGCATGCCCTTGAGTTGTTATTAGTTCATTCTTTCGATTTCAAAATATCCAACCCTTTATCATTTAATCTATTCATCCCGACTTCCGAAAGAATTGAGTTCTTGGAATCTCGCATTCCTTGAATTCTTGAGTGACAAGTTCTTGAGGCACGCCCTTGGGTTACCTGTCAGTCACTCTTTCGTCTCTCAACTCAAAGTCCAAACCAATTCAAACCTCATCTTTTCGTGGTTGTTACCACGAACTATGACTGCTCTGATTCTTCATTCTCGTCCAAATGTAAGATACGTAGGCACAAGATTGCGATGATCTTGGCGAGCTACCTTCTACCTCCCCTCCATTTTCCATTTCCCTGTATCCATTTCGTGGTTGTTACCACGAACTACGGACGCTCTAATTCTTTATTCATTCTTGAATATAAGATACGTAGGCACAAGATTGCGATAATCTTGGCAAGCACACTTCTATCCATCTTCTGTTTCCCCCCATCCTTTCCCGTAGTCGAACTACGACGCTCTGAT